GAACAAATCCCTCTATTCATTAAGAGAATGTAACTATATATCTATCCTAACCATTTTGAACACACAGATACAAAATGGACATTCATCTGTATCCCCCTTTTTTGTTAAGTTCCGTTATTTGAATATTATAGGTGTGTAAACTCAGCACAATATTCTAAAAGAGTCCAGTAGTCCATAATAGTATTGGGTCTTCCGCTTCACTGGAAATATCAGAAATTGTTGACCTCAGTCCCCTGACATTTTATTCTTGCTCTGGATTAGCTGTGCTCCCCTCTAAGGCCCATGAGTACATCCTCAGATCCTTAGTGCATCATCTGAGGGTGCTCAGAATACTAAGCACTCATGTGTGGCAAAAATGAATAGACTTATAAGAAAAAAGATCTCATCACACAGTTTTTACTGGAATATCACTGAGCCTGTAAATTACTTGCAGAGAGTCTTTACTGCATTGTCTCCGTAATCATGAGCCCATGCCACTGCATTCTTTTTAAGAGTGTAATTAATTTTACTCAGGACTAGAATCATGTCCTGTGGAGCGTGGCAAACCAGAATTATTTGCCTTGGAGGACATGAAACTTGGGAACAGAGCAGCTCTTTTAGAAACATGAAGGGGGAGAAGTTTTGTTCTTTGGTGCCATGGGCGGGCTGGGGGGTGTCAGACCCATTGACGGAGTTTGGGAGGGGACAGATTTGGCTCAAGTGCAAGCAGTGGGTGAAATGGATTGCCCTCCTCCCTAGGTGTCTGAGCAGCCTGGAGTGAGCAGATGTCAACTGCTGTCCTTGGGTTTGTGGTTTCCAGTTTGGCTAAGGGCTGCCCCCTGGTTTGGAGAGGTGCTCCAGAGCAAGGTGTGGCTGAGGAAGAGAGGAAGGCCAGAGGGGAGGCAGCTGTGAAGGAAAAGAAAGTTTGGGCCTGGGGGCCGGCGAGATAGCTCAGCAGACTAAAGCACCTGCGTAGGCAAGTTTAGGTAAATGCAGGGACTTCGGGTTCAATCCCTGGCACCACACGCAGCAGTCCTGCCCTCAGGGCGTGCCAAGCCGGCCACAGAGCCTGGGTGTGGTGGTGCACGCCTGTAATCCCAGCACTGGGGAGGCAGAGAACAGGAGGCTCACTGTGAGTCCGCGCTATGTGTTGAGACCCTGTAACAACCAAATACATTTAAAAAGAAAGAAAGTAAGTTTGGGCAGAGGACGGAGATGTGTGAGGGCTTGGGAAGGGAGCCTGCCTGCATAAGTGAGCTGCGCTCTCATTGGAGCCTCGCAAAGACGCCTAGATCCCCCATCACTCAGCAATGTTTTCATATTTGTGGCTTTCAGAGACTAACAGCCCCAAACTCAGTGGGGTCAGCTTGTAAGGAACAGAATTTTTTTAATCAAGTTGAGGGTGAAATGGGATGTCTTAAGAAATGGTCGTATCTCCTGTCAGGAGGGTCACTCAGGTTGGGCCATCTCACAGCAGGAAAACCAAGGGAGTCAAGCATCTGATGAAGACTCTGTTTCCTTTAAAGTAGCTTTGAATCTGGGTGCCGTGGTGCATGCCTGTAATCCCAGCTGCTCAGGAGGCTGAGACAGGAAGATTGCAAATCTGAACCTACCTGGGCAATTTATCAAGACCCTATTTCAAAATAAAAAAGGGATGGAAATATAGCTCAGTGCAGGGCCCTGGGTTTATTCCCCACTGCTGCAGAAAAATTGATAGGTATAAATGATAGATAGAGAGATGATTTGTGTCAACGCTGAAGGGCTCTGGTTCACAGGTGTCCATTCGTCTCACCCTTCCACCCAGCAATAAGCACTGTTCGGCCACAGCTAGTTACGACTTTCAGGTAGAAAAGGCATCATGTTGCCAGAAGGGAGGGAGGAGAGAAGAAAAGCTAAATGACTGCTTTACCATGTTGTTTTCAGATATTAGTTTCCCCTTTTAGTCCTTGGGGGCAGAGCCGGCACCTGCTGGCATCATGAGGAGCCCAAATGCCGGGGAGGGAAGGAATGGGGTTTTAATCATTTACTCCCACCCATTTTCAACCAACAAAGTAAAGGAACCAGGGAGTGGTGGCACACACCTGTAGTCCCAGCACTCCAGAGGTTAAGGCAGGAGGACCGCTGTGAGTTGGAGGCCAGCCCAAGATACAAAGTGAGTTCAAGGCCAATGCCAGCCTCAACTGCATAGTGAGACCTTGTCTTAAAACAAAACGGAAATGTTGGCAAATTGGAGTGTGAAAGAAAGGTTTTGCAGGGAGGATGTGAGGGTATGGGCTGGCGTCCTCCAGCTGGGTCCTAGGGGGTCATTTTGAAGCTTTGCAGTGTATCATTCCCCACACAGATGGTCCACAGCAGGTAGAAGCCATCAGGGGCGTCAGTCAGATCTGTTGAACCTGAGGCCAGAGAGCAGCAGCGGCAGCAGCAGGACCCTGTGTCAGCTCCTGAGAATATACTAAAGTGAGGCAGGGGTGCCTAACATTTTGGAAGCTCCAGACTTTTTCTTTGAAAGGGGAAGTCTGTAAGAACACAATGCCAATGCTATTCATATTATGTTTCTGTGTGGCCTGTCATAAATAGCCATGGGCTACAGCTGCATGCTCTCAATGGCTTTTAACAGCAAGGTGCATTTTGTAGTCTTCTACTTGGGTGCCCCCAGCTGGGCCTCTGGTCTCGAGGAAGAGAAGGTAGCCATTAAGCGCTGTCCCTTTCAGGCATCTGTCTGGAAGCCACTCATTTCTGCCCATTCCGCTGGCCTTAGCCCATCCTAGGCCCCCGCTGTAGAGAGGCAAAGTCCCCATGCAGGCCCTGTGATGCCACCTTTGGCAAACGAGGTGCGTCTGTGACGAGTGCTCCTCACCTGAAGCGCTGATAGTGATTAGATGGGGAAGAAACAACAACTCTGGGAAAAGTTTAGGAAGGGAGGTCAGGGCATTTGAAATCAGCCTCTTCCCTCCGCATTCCACTGCTTGTCTGTGTCTCCCCAAAGCTCGTGGCAACCTCGGCATCGGCAGCCCTGCCCTTCCCAGGGCTCCCATTATACCTGGGAACAGAGCCACCAGGTGAGACGAGAATGTAATTTGGAGTTAGAAGATGAGAAGGCAGATGTGGAAATCACACCCTTCAGGGTGTGAACTGTGGGGGAACAAGGCAGTCGGCACAAAATTGCTTCAAGTCAAACCTCACAGGAAATGTTCCTCCCAGTAGCCTTTGCCTTTGAGCTGCAGGAAAATAGGATTCCTGGAGTGCTCGGGAAACACTCGGGCTGGTTTTCCTGCAGCCCTGGGAATAAGTAGAGGGCCGCCTCAGTCACCTGCCTTACAGGCCTTGAGAGAAAAGAGCGCTTGTTGGGCTTTGTGGGTTGGAGTGGCTTTTCTTTGCCACTTCTAACTGACCTCACTCTGGGGCTCTTTGGTGGAAGCACACACGCCCACCTGTTCCTGCAGGACTGTGGGTCACCCTGTCCTCTCCTTAGGGTGCCAGGGCCTGCAGCCGCCCAGCAGAGCATGCGTTTTTATGATCACATCCACAGAACACACTGTCTGGTCATTTCTAGGCCCCATCTTAGGGTGAACTCTATTTGAACAGGCCAGGTTCAATACAGATTTTGCATTTGTTGAAAACTGTCACATAAGGGGCTGTCCCAGCCTGTGGCCCAGGATGAGCTAAATCCTGTGGGGTCCCCCATGTTGGAGGGAGCCCCTGAGCTCCCTGTGACTCTGCTCTTCCTCTGGTTCTCCTCAGGAGCTTGAGCGCCTGAACCAGGTGCTGGAGGCGGAGAAGCAGCAGTTCGAGGAGGTGGTACAGGAGCTGAGAGTGGAGCAGGAGCAGATCAAGAGGTGGCAGTGGGGTGGCCCTGGAGGGTTCTGGGAAGGGGCACTCGGCTTGGGGCACCATGGCCCAGGTGGAGAGGCCTCGGCCTGGGAGCCACCATGTCTGTGTGGTTTGGGTTTCTCTTCTCAAATCTTCAGGCCTGGGGTGTGTGCAGAGGAAGCTGTGGACCTGGGGCTTGGGTGGGGTGGGGGCTGAGGTGGGCTTTGTGCCCACTGACAGTAATCTCTAGCAAGGGCTTCCTCCAGACAGCCTCGCCCTCCTCCCTTAATGAAAACGCCCTACCCAGGCTGTCAGGAGCTAGCCAGCCAGGCCTGGAGGTGCTGTTGGCAAAGACCCTAGAATCCTCCTGTCTGCCCTGCATGGTCCTTTCATATTTTGGCCAGTGATGTGTGGGACCTTGAGCCCTATGTATTATTTACACAACTAATTTTACATTAGAATCATCTGCTCAATGATGTTTTGAATGGAAGACCCTCAAAATTCATGTTTTAAAAAAATACTTGGGTTACGATTTAGATGTAGCCTGTCCAGGAATTTGGAGACTGCTGTTCCCCGTGGTGCTAGTGGTGGGTGTTGTTGTCTTCATTATCTTTGCTACCACTAAGCATCAATGATACCCAAGAAATTTAAATTTATTATTTATTTATTTATTTTCTTTTTGAGACAGGGTCTCACTATGCAGTTCAGGCTGGCCTTGAGTTCACTTTGTAGCCAAGCTGGTCTCCAACTCACAGTGATCCTCTTGCTTCAGCCTCCCGAATGGAGAGTGGAGTGCTGGGATTATAGGTGTATGCCACATGTGGCTCCCAGAAAATTTTTTTATTCCAACAACCTTACAAGACAAAACAACTAGATGTGTTTTGGAGAGGGTGAGAAAAATCTTTCCAAGTCAAAAGCTAAGGACCTACTCAGTTTCCAGAATTGTGGAAAAAAAATCTCCATATTTTGTTCTGATTGGGAAAACCAGACTTGAACTCAGAAACATTAACAAAATTGGACTAAGTACCTGCCTAGGCAAGCGCAGGGACCAGGGTTCAATCCCTGGCACTGCATGCTGCTGCACCTGCCCTACCCCCAGGCATGCTGAGCAGGCCACCGAGACTGAGACTAGGCATGGTGGCGCACACCTGTAATCCCTGCACTGGGGAAGCTGAGAACAGGAGGATAAGTATGAATCCGAGCTGCATAGTGAGACCCTGTACCAAATACATAAGTGAAAAAAATAATAAATTAAAAAAATAAACATTAACACAGCAATGTATAGCCAGGGCTGGAAGACAGTGCAGATTTCTTGCATTTTAGGGATTAAGATATATGTGTGATCCCTGTGGGTATGAATAGAAAAGAAATAGAGCTGGCCTGCCCGGCAAATGCAAGGTCCCGAGTTCGGGTCCTAGTACATAAATAAATAAATAAAGCTGGCATTGAAATGTGAAGTAGATGTTGGAAGATTGGGTGGGAAAAGGGAAAGATATCCAAGCAGGAGTAGGGAACCACGGGAACGGTGGCCAAGGCTTGCTCAGAAGGCAGGAGGAAGTGGGGCATCGTGGCACATGCCTGTAATCCAGCACTTGGGAGGCCAAAGCAGGAAGAACGCAGAGTTCAAAAGTAGTCTGGGCTACATAGCATGACCTTATCTCAAAAAGCCAAGTAGAGGGGCTGGTGAGATGGCTCAGTGGTCTAAAGCACCTACTTGGAACAAGCTTGCCTGAAGCACAGGGACCGCGGTTCCATCCCCCAGCACCACATGCCAGCCAGCCCCGCCCCCTGGTGGGCTGAGCTGGCCACACACACATAAATGGATAGATGGATAAATAAATAAATTAAAAAAAAAAAATTTTAAAAAAAAAAAAAGCCAAGTAGAGAAGGAGGAGGCAGAAGGAGTGTTACCCCGGACTGGTCTCCTGTTGCAGTGATCATAGGTTATGGCAGGTACTGTCCAGGGGACATGGGTGTGGCTGTTCCCTTTGTTTTTTCTTGAGCCACAAACTGCCTGAGAGGTGGGTTTAGGTTTACCCTGCCTGACAGATCCATGTGCACCTGGAGCAGCCTGCACCATCCTCATTAGGCTGGGGTCTCCTCTTAGCCTTAACCCCTACAGCCACTTTGGGAGCCCGGGGCTGCAGAGAGACTGGCCACACAGCACCTCCTGAGCGCATCAGGAAGTGCAGGAGAAGAGTTGCTGTATGCTGGCCAGCGGGGGTGGGCGCTGTCAGACTTAGCCCTCTGTGCCCGCAGGGAACTAGAACTCACTGCGAGATGCCTCAAGGGTGTGGAACAGGAGAAGAAGGAACTGAGGCAGCTCACGGAATCTTTGCAGCAGACTCTGGAGGTGAGGGGCCACCAGTGGCCTGGCACCAGCCCTGTAGGCTGCCCTGTCGAGCTCTGCTCTGTGACGCTGGCTTTTCTAGCAGCGTTTCCCGCAGGGCTTACCTGCAGGGGAGTGGGCAGAAAGCAGTGCTCACCTGAAGTCTGCTCTGCGGATGGCTGGGAATCTGCTGGCTGCAGGAGGCCTAAAGCAGGAACTGGCGATTGCCAGACCCAAAGGCAAATTCCAGCTTGCTGGCGACGACCATGGCATCAGCAAACCGTTCTTCCTTGCTTGCATTTTTATACCAGATGGAGGGAATCAGCTACTGGGTCCCCTTTGTCTGATGCCACAGGAACTGGGAGGGGACGGGAGGTGGCATGTGCCAAGGACAGCACACAGGCTCCTTAGCATGGCGCACGATGCCAGCTCGGCCCCACTTCTCCGCCCCTGCTGCCCTGCTCTTCCATTATTGCTCCACACCCAAAGGCATCCCAACTCCTGCTCCAATCACTGAGCTCATTTTCCCCAAGAATACAAACTCATCCTCCTACAATTGTCCATGCTGTTCCTCTTGCATATTCTGTGTGTGTGTGTGTGTGTGTGTGTGTGTGTGTCTTTTTGAGACAGGGTCTTGCTATGCAGGTCAGGCTGGTCTTGAACTCACTTTGTAGCTCAGGCTGGTATTGAACTCGCAACAATCCTCCTGCTTCAGCCTCCCAAGTGCTGGGTTTATAGTTATAGGCAAGCGCCACCATGCCTGGCTCCTGCACAATCCTTTCAGCTCTCCCCTGCCGGAGGCCTCCCTTCCATCCTTCTCAGGCTCAGCTCCAACAGTTCCTTGATCAAGCCTCCCTGATCCTTCAAGGCAGCTATTCTGCGCTCTGGGCCTCCATGGCATTTTGTACATCTGTTGTGGGAAGAACCCTAAAGGTTGTGTTTTTCAAACTGGCCTTCACTAGACCTCGTGCCCCCACCCCAGGACGGGATTGAGCCCCATGCCCAGCCATTTTCATTTTTTGTGTCAGGGTCTCACCTAGGCAGTTGCCTAGGCTAGGCTTGAATTTGCAATGTTGCCTCAGGCTCCCAGAGTTCTGGAATAACTCCAGGCGTGCACCTCCGCATGCCCAGGCTAGACAGTGGCTTAGTGGTGTCTCAGTCTAGCCCCTGGAGCCTGGGGCATGGTGTGTGACCTGTCTGTGTTTCCTGAACCCATGAACTGCCTGGGGCTGCAGACATTTCTGTCTCCTTGCCTGACTGGAGCTTGTCTGTGGGACCTTTGTGTGTTTATCTCCCCTGCTGCTTCGTGCCTTGGGAGGTAGTTCCCATGGCGAGTCTGTATAGTGTAGCCGACCAAGGCAGAGAACATCTAAATCTGCTTCCTGAGCTCATCCTGTGGGATGAGCATTTTTCCCATGAGCCCAATACATCTTTTTCTGCCCCCTGAAGGAAGAAGAGCCCCAGGAGGTCCTGGTGCCCTTGGGCCTTGGGACTGGTTCTGCTAGGTGTCATCTTTCCTGGAAGCTACACTGGACTCCCTCTGACTTCCTCCACTGAGGGCTAACTTTTCCTTTTTGGCCTTTTTATTTTGGAAGTATGAGCCCTCTCGGGTGTGTCAGAGGGTAGATCACTGGAATGGAAAGGTGAGTGGGGGCTGCCATGTTGGAGGAGCTAACCCAGCCATCCTCTTCCTTCCTCCCTCCACACCAGGAACTCTCCATAGAGAAGAAGAAAACCCTAGAAATGCTGGAGGAGGACGAGAACAAGGCACAGGCACTGGCCAATCGGAGTGAGCAGGCCTTGGCCATTGGGGATCTCCACAGCAACCTCAGGCAGATTGAGGAGCGGATTCAGCAGCTCCTGACTGAGAAGCTTATGGCGGAGAAGCGGTGAGGGGCCTGAGAGCCCCAGGTCTCTAAGCAGCCTGGGGCAGCTGACTCCTCAGGCTGGATGGCTGCACTCAGGTTCCAAAGGCCTCTAACCAGTGGGTCACTTGCTTCCTTTAACCTAAGACTCAGTTTCCCCAGCAGGCAAATTGGATAACCTTTCTCCCCAAATTGCAGTCCTCTCACAGTTGTGAGCCGGGTCATTAGGTCCTCGGAATGGTGCCTTGGGCTGGCTGGGCCTTCCTTTAGCTTCATTTACACTGGAGGAAGCAGCCTCAGTGCAGTGACAGGCTTCAGGGTCACAGAAATGACAGGCCACAGACCCAGGACACTAATCTTCTGCCTCTAGGGCCAGGGCTCCCATCACTGCCCCCATCATTCCTCTGGTCACCAGATTGGCCAGACCCAGAAAGTTCTGTAAGCTCCAGGTGTATCCAGGCAGGTCTTGGGGAGGGGCATCCCCTTTAGGCGAGTGAGCCGCTGGTAGCCTCTTCTCCTGTCCGGCAGGATGAAGGAGAACGAGGAGCGCTCTCGGGCCCTGGAGGAGGAGCGGGAGTTCTACTCCAGCCAGTCGCAGGCACTGCAGAACTCTCTGCAGGAGCTGACAGTGGAGAAGCAGCAGGCGGAGCGGGAGCTCAAGGTGCGCGGGCCCTTCCCCTCCCAGGGTCTCCTGCCCACCTCCGCACCTAACTTACCGGGTAGCTGCCCAAGGTGTCTCTTCCAGTAAGACCAGCTGGCCGGTATGGGGCCTAGAGCCACCAGAAAGGAAGTGTCTGCCCCACCATGGGTCCACACTGGGCCTTCAGAGTCGGGCAGAATTAGGCAGGTTGTGGAAAGAGCCACCAAGCTCTTGGAGCCAGGGTAACTGGAAGACCCCAGGGCGAGGGCACCTGCGCTCAGGAGCCCTCTTGGTCCTTGCTCAGGCGGAGGTGAAGGTCCGAATGGACCTGGAGCGGCGTCTGCGGGAGGCAGAGGGGGCTTTGCAGAGCCTGGAGCAAGGGCTCAACTCTAAGGTGCGGAATAAGGAGAAAGAGGAGAGGATGCGCGCGGATGTGAGCCACCTGAAAAGTAAGCCGTTGCTCGGGGCCTGCTTCCCGGCCCAGGGCTCAGCCGGCCTGGAGTGCACGAGGCAGTCTGCTGGCATTCCTCCCAGTGCCGGCCAGCCAGGGCCGCTAGCTCTGCTTCCTTACAGCTGTTGGGGGTGGGGGAGCCTGGAGTTCCTTACCTTTCTCAAAGCGAGAGAGCGTGCTGGCCCATAGGGGATGGGGCCCACATAGCTGCATCCACCCCTGCGCGGTCAGGATTGTTCGGGAAGATCGCTTGCACAGCTGTGGCCGCCCCCAGGGTTCTTCGAAGAATGCATCCGCAACGCAGAGCTGGAGGCTAAGATGCCGGTCATCATGAAGAACTCAGTGTACATCCACAAGGCGGCCACCCGCCGCATCAAGAGCTGCCGCTTCCACCGGCGCCGGTCTAGCACATCCTGGAATGACAGTGAGTGTGGCCATGCAGGAGGCGAGGTCGGGGACGGTGGGGCCAGGTCGGGACCACCCAGGGCTGCTGACCGTGCCTGGGCTCTCTCCCACCAGTGAAGCCGTCCCAGTCCTTCCTGAACTCTCAGCTGGAGGCCAACAACATCGAGGAGCTGAAGGAAGTGGCCAAGCGGCTCAGCAGGGACCAGCGCTTCCGAGAGTCCATCTACCACATCATGGCCACGCAGCCTGGGGCCACCTCCGTACTCCCGCGGGGTGGAAAGTGACAGCACCTCCCTGCCCACGGGGGGGGGGGCAGAGCAAGGCCTAAGTGCTCGAGTTCTGCTGCACTGAGGGACGCTCCAGTTGCCACCCTACCCTTTGCTGCGGGCCCAGCCTGGATGCTGCCGGCTTGTGGTAAGGCAGGAAGGGCCAGGCTGTGCGTGGGCGTGGGATACAGACCTGCGCCCCGACACTGCCTGCAGCTGAAGACCACAGCCTCGTTGGAGCCCCCGGTCCCCGCCGCCCTGAACCTGGGCTGCTAGTGATAAAGGGCCAGGTGCACCTGCCCAACTTCCTAGGCTTTCCTGCCCTGCGCCCACCCCGGCTACGGGTCGTCCTTGGTCGCAGCCCCTGCTTACCCCATGCCCGGCGAAACGTACCCCACATGCTGGCCGCATTGCCAGGCTGTGGGGGTGGCCCTGGCTGTGGGGCCAGACACCTCCTCAGATGTGCTCATCCATGAGCATCCTCAGCGACCTTCAAGAGGACTGTGAGCCCACTGAATCCCAGCCGCACCCTGACTGGGGGGCGGGCCAGCAGCAGCACCTCAGCCGACCCAGTGGACATGTGGGCCGGAGCTCAGGCGTGGGAAAGGTGGCTCTGGCAGCGACAGCTGTCTCTCGCTGTGGTGGCCCTGCAGTCTGCTGTCTTCAACTGCAGAGGCTCGCAACCCTGATTGCAGCACGTGGGGAGCCAGGGCTGAGCTGAGCCGGCAGCCATGGGTGGGGCCTGGGTCAGCTATGGCTGGGGCCTGGGTCAGCTATGAGTGGGGCCTGGGTCAGCCATAGGTGGGGCCTGGGTCAGCCATAGGTGGGGCCTGGGTCAGCCATGGGTGGGGCCTGGGTCAGCTATGGGTGGGGCCTGGGTCAGCTATGGGTGGGGCCTGGGTTGGTGGAAGCTACGCAACCCTCCGCAGTTTTTATGGAGACCGCTGCCCTTCCTGAGGTTTGAGGGTCTCCGGGCCCACCCTCTGAAGCTGGCTGTCTCCATCTCTCCAGAAAAACTCCACAGGTCTGGGGTGTTCTGGGACACTGGTGTGTTGAAGGGACAGATTCTCTACTCTGCAGAAAACATTTTCTGATGGTTGTGGGCAAGTCCATCAGAAGATGCAGGTCCCTGGGAAGCCGCTGCAGGTTTTGGACACGGAGGGCAGCTCCCTGGGGTGGGGACAGGCCCTGTCTGCTGCTGCACTGCCTTGCTCTGGAGACCTGGAGAAATGGGTCCTGCAGTGCCTTCTCAGGGCTGGCCAGTTAGTGGGGTGCTCCTGGGGGCACTTTGGAATCAGTGTATTTGAATGGAAATGTAAAACCTTTAAGTATGTATAATCCTGCATAACCTGGAACATGTTTATCTAATATGTATGTGGAATGAACTTTGAAATGAGGCAGAAGATTTATAAAAGCAAGATTATGATTTTGTTTTTGCTGTGCAGGATAGTGAACCAGGGCTGACCACTGAGCTATATCCTCAACCTTTCTTATTTTCATTTTGAGGCAGGGTTTTATTAAGTTGACCAGGTTGGTCTCCGACTTACAATCCTCCTGCCTCAGCTTCCCAGGTAACTGGGATTATGTACCACCATGCCTGGCTGGTTTTAAAGAATTAACGATGGCCTGCTCTGAAGAAAGATCTTTCAGAAATTTTCAAATGCATTTCTCTTTGCTTGGGCAAGCTATGAGCCAGAAGGAAGTTACTTGTCTTGGTTCACCCTGTCATGCTATTCCATACCTGAAACTGGGTTGATTTATAAAGATCAGGAGTTTATTTATTGACTCATGGTTTTGGAGAATGAGAAGTCCACCCTCAAGGTGCTGGGATCAGCAAGGGCCTTCTCACTGTGCCATCCTGCAATGGCAGGAAGACCCAGGGAGGGGCAGCACACCCTTTCCATGCCCACTGCAGCTCATTCTTGCAAGGATGACACTAATCCATTCACGAGGGCAGAGCCCTTGGGGCCTAATCTCTTTTTTGAGGGCTGAGAGATTAAACTTAGAGCCTTCACCCTCAGCTACATCCATAGCCCTTTATTTTTATTTATTTATTTATTTATTGAGATAGGGTCTCACTAAGTCATTGTTTGCCCAGGCTGGGCTCAAACTTGCAATCTTCTGCCTCAGCCTCCCAGAGCATTGGGATTACAGGTGTGTGCCAACCACACTTAGCTCGTAATCATTTCAACTTCCTTCTTGTCTCCCTCCCTCCTTCTCTTGCTCTCCCTCCCTCCCTCCCTTTCTTCCATCTTCCCTGTGGTACTGAGGACTGAGTCCATGGCCTCTCTCATGCTAGGTAAGTACTCTTACCACTGAGCTACATTGCCACCTCCTGTTTAAAGTTTTAAGGCAGGTTCCCACTAAATTGCCCTGGGGGGGCCTGGAGCTTGACTCCAACCCCCTCAGCCGCTTTAGTAGCTGGGATTACAGACATGTGCCATCAAGCCAGGCTTAAAGGTCCCACCTCTTCATACTAAATGGCAATTAATTTTAACATGAATTTAGGAGGGGTGGTCAAACCCCAGCAGTGATTTTCCATGCACATTCACCAATCCCTAGTTCTTTTCCTCGTCTTCCCCTGTACTTCATGCCTCGAGCAAGTCTGAATTATGGTTAAACAACAGTGAATCCATGTTTCTGATGAGCTCACTGCAATACCTAGTGCTGTACACAGAAAAAGAAGAGCATCTATATGAGACTACAAAGGGTGGGACTTACTTTCTGGAAATACCTTGATCTGATTTTTTAAATTTTAAAACCAAAACGCTTACTGTTTGGCCAATTAAATCCATTTCGTGCAATAGCCATAGGTCTATGTGTGGTCATTGCTGGAGAAATGCTGCCCCCCTGCGGCCGAATGTAGGATTGACGATTACAAAACGCGCGGGGTCTCCTGCACGTTGCCCATATTTCCCGGCCCAGGATTCTCTTCTGATGGGGACAGGCCAAACGACAGAGCCAACTGTGTGGGGGTGGGAATGGGGGACCAGCCTGAGAGAGGGAAAGAGTACGGCTGATAACCTCATCAGAAAGACAGCTTTATGGGCCAGGGAGATGGCTCAGTCAAATAAGTGCTTCCCTGGCAAGCGCAAGGGCCTGTGTTCAATCCCTGGTTCCACAAAAAAGAAAAAAAAAAAAAAAAAGCTTTACCTGAGCTCATGAGCCCTTTACGCTTTTGCTTTGTAATCCTATAAGGAAGAGACAAAAAGTAGTGGAAATGGCAATAACTGAACCTTCTGCTATTTGGCGCTTTTCCTCACTGCCCCAGGGATGATCCAGGGCTGCCCAGGTGAACGCTGCTTCCCAGCATAACCTACACCTCCCCGTTTCCCTGCTGTTGCTAGTGCGCCCCCCAGCGGTGTGAATGCAGGAGATCCGTGAAGCACACGGTTCAGCCCAGGTGGACCAATGGCCCCCATCCACTTCTGGAACCTTTGTAATTCGTGTCTCCTGTCCATCTGTTCCACCCAGGTCACCACGACCTGAGCAGCCTGTATTCAGAGGCACAGTGACCCATGACAGGCCAGGAACATGCTTGAGGATAGTGCGACAGAAACACAACCCAGGATATCAGATGTGATCTAAACAGCAGGCAGTTATGAAACCCAGTGAACAAGCCAGGTGGGGCAGCACACACCTGTAATTCCAGCACTCTGGAGGCTGAGACAGGAGGATCTCCATGAGTTTGAGGCCATCATGGGCTACAAAGTGAGCTCAAGTCCAGCCTGAACTGTATAGTGAGACCCTGTCTCAAAAATAAATAAAATAAAAAATGAGACACACACAAACCTAATGGACAAAGCAGCTGGACCTCAGGCAAGTCCAGCAGCCCCTGGAACCCATGCTTCTTCAGTCATTTAGGATGAAGCGGCCCAGACCCCAACCCTTTGGCAATTGACTCGGGCAAAAACTACCGACTTCTCACACCCGTCCAGCGTCTGACCTGGGGGTCTCCCTATGAGCAGACCAAACCATCTTGTTGACCTGGTATAGGTTACAAGCGTCTTGAGAGAAGAACCATCCCCTGGCCGAGTGGCGCCTTCCTGATGAGACTGGAGGGAGGAACCCGGATGGGAACCGTGGTGGGAAGACCTGCATGGGAACCTTCAGGCCTCGCTGCTTGCTGGCTCTGTGGGTTCTCAAGGCTTCCTGTTCATATATTTTTATTAGGTAGGAAAAAAGTCTCCAGTTACAGGAGGCTTCTCAGAACCCTTGTGGTTCTGGAGCTCTATGATCTGGAAACTTATGGTGCTGGATTCAAGAGAAAATCAGCTGCTGTAGCACCCAGGGGTCAAGGACAGACAGGTATAAGGGAGGACCCTCCGACTGGGTTGGAAAGGGAGCCATGCGACCCTCAGAACTACGAAGCTAGGAAATGGTCACTTTTAGGTAAGAGCAGGGAAGGAAACTGATAGGTCATTCCCAGGAAAAGCTTGCTGGGACCCACCCTGTTCCCAGGGAAGCCTTTCCTGGTACCAGGAAGGTGTCCACTGGCATCCACTTGGCATCCATTCGTGTGTTCACTCTGGTGTCTGGCCTTGTTCAGCCTGATTTGCTCCATCTCCACCCAGCCAATACTTGTGAATCTCCTGTGCGAAGCTTTCCTCTCCTCTATTGGTTTTTTTACTCCGTAAAATGCATGAAACAAGATTAGTTACTTTGACTATTTCTAAGTATGTGGTCCAGTAATGTAAAATATATTTTCATTGTTGAGCAACCACTCTCTAAAATCTTCTCATCTGGCAAAACTCAAACTCTGTACCCATTAAACAATAATGTCCCATCCCCTGGCCCCGGCGACCACTACTCTACTTTCTGTCTTTATAAGTCTGACAGTTTTTGGGCCCGT